AGTCTACTTATCCACTAAATCATCGGGTTAATAGAATATTTTAACATATTCAAACCAACAGTTTGGGCAAGTCGATCGCGTTAGAAATACAAAATGAAAAAGAACATCAATTACCATATAACCTTAGTTTTTTTTACAATTAAAAAAATAAAAATAAAAAAAATCGGTATTTATTCTTAAAATTCCAAAACAATCATCTTGGGTTAGTATGTAGACATGTTGACAAATTTTAATACGTAAACTAATTAACTTGTTAATTTTTGTCATCTAACCCACACAATTCAATCCACTCATCTATAATTTGAATGGATACACGATTTTTTTGCGCAGCCCTAGTTGTGCATGACTAACAACAGGGCATCATTCTCATTTGCATTGCACCATGCAATGCAAGTAGCCAAAAGAAGAACTACCTACAATTTCACATGTGTTCTTTTTTTGATATTTTCGGTTCAACTTAAGAATTGTTTTCACATAACATGTGGTCTCCTCATACAGTGGGTCTACAAATTTTTAAAATATAAATTAATAAATAAATAAGGAGAAATTATAATATATAAAAAACTCTAGAGTTTGATTCATGTAACAAAATAAATTGTGAATTTTTAATTTTGTAGATATTGTAGTCATTCAGGGTTTTCATTGCCATGTATAAAATGTATTCTTTTTTTTTTCCTTAACATTTTCTTTGGCTAAGGATTTATTATATTGTTCACAACAAGTAGTTATTTGATACTTTGAAAACACTGTGTGATATTATTTATATAGTAGTTTAAATCAATCGTGTAACGAAAAATATTATAGATTGGATATAATGAACTCATTATTTTCAAGTAGTTGACATACCACTTAGTGTGATTTGTGATTTTCTATGCTTTGAGCATCACGTAGGTAACATCATATGGTACTCTAAGATGCCATGTATAAAATGTATTCTTTTTTTTTTCCTTAACATTTTCTTTGGCTAAGGATTTATTATATTGTTCACAACAAGTAGTTATTTGATACTTTGAAAACACTGTGTGATATTATTTATATAGTAGTTTAAATCAATCGTGTAGTGAAAAATATTATAGATTGGATATAATGAACTCATTATTTTCAAGTAGTTGACATACCACTTAGTGTGATTTGTGATTTTCTATGCTTTGAGCATCACGTAGGTAACATCATATGGTACTCTAAGACTGTTTAATAATTTTCATTCAAAATACATCATTTATAAGTAATGTCATCGCTTTAATATTTTTCTATCAAATAAAAATTAAATAGATTTTATAATAATTTATGCTATAAATGATGTGTTTTTATTTTTTAAAATTAGGAATTTTGATCCATAATTTTTTGTGTTGAAATTGCAAACTTACATCATCATCTCACACCGAGCTATTCCACACTATTATAGAATTTTGATTTGTTCTTATTAATAATGAATATGTAATTTTTTATGTTTAAAATAATCTCATAAAATTATGATTATCTTAATGTTGCTCATGATTTTTTTAAAATAAAAATTATAATTAATAAATGCTCCCTCTAACCTAATTTTCTAGCTCCGCCACTGTAGTCATTAATTTCAATATATACACATAAAATATCTAATATATATATATATATATTTGTTCAGTTTAATGAGCAAAATATCATTTTTTGGGGTAGTTTTACTTAACAAAGAAAAAAAAGAAAAAAGGCAAATGACTTATATTGAAAACAAATCAAAAGATCAAAATTTAAATTTATAAAATAAAAAATTTAGAATTTATTTTGTTACAAAAATCAAAATATTTAATAGATTATAAAAATCTAAGATTAAGATTTATTCATAGAGAGTGGGCCTACAATTCTGAGAAATTATTTTTAAATTAGTTTTCGTTTGTCTTTATTAAACTTTTTTTTTTTTATATTTTAGACATTTTTATTTTTATTTTTATTTTTATTTTGTAGATACATTAAGATTAGATGAATCTAATAAGTAAAAAATAAAATAAAAAAAATTAAAATATGAAAAAAAATTCACTAAAAATTAACAAATATCCGAACAAAAATGCATACAATTTTTTATTCGAATTTTAGTCTATCTTTAGTATATTTTTTTAAATATTTTGACTAACTTTATACATCTTTATTAGGTGCATTAAAAAGTAAAAACAACTAAAAAATCACTAAAAATAAATAAGAATTTATTTAAAAATTGTAAAAAAATAAAACCAAACACACATTAAAATTTTGGAACAATTTTTATTTTATTGGGTTCCATAGACTTTTTTTTCCCTGCGGGTAGCGCCATCATCAACCATTATTGGTGCTACTCAAAAAAAAAAAAAAAAATTCAGGCCTCGTTTGGGAACAGGCTAATTTAGTAACTTTTTAGCTATTTGGCTAAAATATGAGCTAAAAAAAACTAGTATATTTGGGATGACTTTTTGACTTTTTACGAAGAGATGTGCAAAAAGTAGAGAAAAAATAGAATCTTTGACTTTTTGGTATGGGTTGTTGACTTTTTGGCTAATTTAGTAACTTTTTGACTTTCTAGCTAAAAAATTCGGTTGCCAAACGAGGCAGTGCTTGGTTTCAGTGTTTTAAATTCATTTTTTCAAAAATTGAGTATTTTATTTTTTGTATTTTTTTTATTTTTAGTGAATATTTTTAAAATTTTAAGTATTTTTTTCTTTTTTGAATATACCTTACTTAGATATGTTTAAATAGTAAAATATTTATGAAAAAATATTTTAAAAAATTAATAAATATATAAAAATACAAAAAATAATAATAATAATAATAATAATAATAATAATAATAATAATAATAATAATAATAATAATAATAATAATAATAATAATAATAATAATAATAATAATAATAATAATAATAATAATAATAATAATAATAATAATAATAATAATAATAATAATAATAATAATAATAATAATAATAATAATAATAATAATAATAATAATAATAATAATAATAATAATAATAATAATAATAATAATAATAATAATAATAATAATAATAATAATAATAATAATAATAATAATAATAATAATAATAATAATAATAATTAATAAAATAAAATATCACATTTTATATATTAATTAATTATTTTTTTTCCAAACAGTTATTTCTTGAACTATAAAAAATCACAAATCATCACAAACATAACTTTTTTTTCATCTCATAACATAGTTCAAAAATAAAAATAAAAAAATCAACTAAAATAGTCAAATTTCTAAACAGAACCTAACTGTATGTGGGAATCAATATCAGGGTTTTAAATAAATGGGAGATGATAAAATTACACAAAAATGTCATAAATTTTTTATCACAAAAATCATAGGCTGCGTTTGGAAGGGTTTTGGAACTTTAGTTCCACGCTTTGATTTGCTTATGGTGCTTGTTTACAGTTTTTAAAAATTAATTCCACGTTCATTTTTGAAAACTCAGTTGAAGGCGGGGAAAATTTGAACTAACCAGTCGTCCGGCCAGTTAACCGGAGCAGTGCAATTTTTTTTTTTTTTTGCAATTGACACATGTTAATTTTTATATATTCAACAAAAAATATTTTCCGAATTTTTAAAATTTTTTTATGAACTTTGATAGAATTTTGAGTTGTGTGTTTGATTATAAGTTGCAAGTTTTTGTATCAAATATCATATGTCACATAAAAAATTTTCCACTCAATTCAAAACTCTTTTCAAAACTCATTCACCAAACAAATTTTTCACACTCAAATTATAATTCCAAAACTCACAAACTCAAAATACAACTCCTATTCTCAAATCATATTTAGAAAGCTCTACCAAATACTACCATAATTTTTTCATCTTAAAATGTCATAACAAAAATTACAAAGTATAATAATAAAAATCACAAAATATCATAACATTATATTTTCAACTTTAAAATATACATCATAAATTTAATATTCATAATTTCACCGCAAAATATCATCACAAGAAACCATAACTTGCACGTTGTATATTTCTTCTAAAACAAATATATTCAAATCATATTTAGAAAGCTCTACCAAATACTACCATAATTTTTTCATCTTAAAATGTCATAACAAAAATTACAAAGTATAATAATAAAAATCACAAAATATCATAACATTATATTTTCAACTTTAAAATATACATCATAAATTTAATATTCGTAATTTCACCACAAAATATCATCACAAGAAACCATAACTTGCACGTTGTATATTTCTTCTAAAACAAATATATGATATTAAAAATTAAAAAAAATAATAGATAAATTATAAAATATCAATAGATAAACTCACAAACACATTCCAAACTTACTAAATGAATTTTACGAGAAATTTTATATATATTCAAGGTTTGAGCTTGTAATAAAATAAAATTTTAATTTTATCGATTTAAATCTTAATCTTTTAATATTTTTTCAATCTAAACCATTTTTTCTTTTTCTTTTTGTTAAATACAACTATATGAAAAGTGTATTTTAATTATTAAACTCAATATAGGTATACAAAAAATGTCTAAAAGATTCGTTTCCATTGAGTTTAATGATTAAAATGTATTTTTTCATTTAGTTTTACTTGATGAAAATAAATAATGATTTAGATTGAAAATAAATTAAAAGATTAGACTTTAAATTCACAAAATTAAAAGCTATTATTTTGCTTTTTTTGTTTGTTTGTTTGTTTGTTTGTTGGGAAATAAGGTTTATTTTGTTATAACTATTCTAGTGCACTACAGTCCATGGTTTGAAAATTAGTATAAATAGCAATCCCAAACCATGAATGTTCACAGAGTTAGTCCTAAACTACAAAATCCTTAAGCCCAGTTTGGCTCCCCTCATTAGCCTTCATTTCCTTCACCATCAGTGTCCATGGCTTCTTATATTAGCTTGAAGGCCCTGGCAATCCTAGCTCTTGCACTTGAAAAAGCCCTTCCCAAACCAAGCTTTTTAGCCCAGGCTAAAATAGCCAAAAAAGCCAAAAAGCCAAAAAGCCAACCCACTTCCCAAACGGAGGCAGAGTTAGTCCTAAACTACAAAATCCTTAAGCCCAGTTTGGCTTCCCTCATTAGCCTTCATTTCCTTCACCATCAGTGTCCATGGCTTCTTATATTAGCTTGAAGGCCCTGGCAATCCTAGCTCTTGCACTTGCCTTCTGTGTGCAAGGCATCATGGGTTAGTGAAAGCTTTTCTTTGGATAAATTATATTTTTAATTTTTGTAGTTTGATTCATATTTTACTTTGGTCTATACTATTTCAAATTGAATAGTTTGATTTTTACCCATTCAGTTTAGTATCAATCCTTTTGCTCAAGTTAAACATTAAAATTAATAATATTTGGACACTTATCGATCTCCTAAGATTTACATATAAAAAAAATTAAAGGGAACTTACGTGCAGGTTTTAATAGGTGAACTTATTGTTCAATAACTCCTGTGAAAATTAATGGCGTTTGTTATCAAACCCTATTAAAAGTCACTAATTATTAATTTTTAGCGACAATTTAAAAGTTGTCACAAAAAATGTTACTAATTATAAGTTTTAGCAACAGTTTAAAAAACTTGTCACAAAAAGATATCACTAATTTTCAACTTTCAATAACAGCTTGAAAAATTCGTTACAAAAAGTCACTAATCGTAAGTTTTAATAACAATTTATAAAAACCTAACCTGATGGAGGACACTATGATAAAAGGATTCTTTAATTTAAATTATTAACAACAGTTTAAAAATTCGTCATAGAATTCATCATAATATATACACCTCAATTTATAGAAACGTCAATATATACAAAAGATGTTTTACATAATTATTATTTTTGTATTTCAAGCCTAAATTGACCAATACCATAGACCACATCGCATTTTTAGAAGCAAAATGCTTAATTACTAAAAATTTAAAGATAAATTACAAATACATCTTTGAGATTTACTTAAAATATAGATTATTTTCTATGGTTTGAAAAATTACAAATACTCATTTTTAGAATTTTTTATTTAACAGAATTAACTGAAAAAATAAAATTCCTAACTACTCTCTTATACAATAATAAAATTACTTGAATTATTAATTGAAATAAATTTCAGACATCATTAAAAATTAGTAATTGAGTTGATGATTTATTTATGAAAGGTGCTATTTGTTACGAAATTAAAAATTTCAAGGGGTAGGATGTAATTTCTAAAATTATAAGGAGTAATTTATATTTTAAACAAATTTTAAAAAATGTATTTATAATTTATCAAAAAAAAACTTATATAAACTTTCAAAATGATATATTAATGGCATGTTTGTAGATTATGATTATTATGTTTATGTTTTCAATAAAAAGACAGCAACAAGTCACATTATTCTCCACTCTAAAAAACAAAGTCATGTTATGTTTGTATATTATTATTCATTTAAAAATATTCTTTTAATTAACTTGTTTTTTGGGATATATATATATATGTGTGTGTGTGTGTGTGTGTGTAGGTGGAGGAATCGAATGTGAGAATCTCAACAAGGACTCGTGTGCATTCGCGGTATCATCATCCAGTAAGCGTTGTGTGCTCGAAAAAACAGTGAAAAGGAGTGGAGAGGAAGCGTACACGTGTCGTACATCAGAGATAGAGGCTGATAAATTGAAGGACTGGATCGAGAACGACCAGTGCATCGAAGCATGCGGGCTTGATCGGACGATGCTTGGAATCTCATCGGACTCTCTTTTGGAGTCTCAGTTCACTCACAAGCTTTGCTCAACTCAATGTTATGATAACTGTCCCAACATTGTAGACCTCTATTTCAATCTTGCTGCTGGTGAAGGTACATTTCTAACGTACAACCATATTCTACAAGAGTAGTGTCATCAAATTTTCAAAAAAATTGTTAATATATATGTTCATTACAATCCTATATCCATCCATTCCTTTTGGATTTATCACTCATTCAATGCGTTGGAGGGTTTCCCCCTTTATCTCTTAACATGAACCATTGCGTATGCCTTCATGTCTTTGCTTGCGAGCCACCATTTCAGTGTTTATTTGGGGTTATTTTGCCATGATATAACTCTGACTTTTATTGCTTAAGTCATTCCACACTTGGTCTTAATAGGTATAGTGTAACCCACCTTATTTGCCTTGTATGAATCATGCTTCATGCCCTTTTTGGTAGCATATTTTGGCCTACTTCCATGCATGTTTTAGACTCATTTTAACATGTACTAGGACTGTTTTGGATTGCCTTGATCACATACTTCATGTTTTGCATACTTGTAGTACAAGTGCCCTTGCTTGCCTCAAACTTTAAGCATCATTGCATACTTCATTTGTGTTGTGTACATGATTTAGCATCATCTAACATGACATTTCAGGACTTATAGCATGCTTATGTTCCCACTTTATTCATGCTTTGAATGTCTTTAAGTGTTGTGCATTATGGCCTTGTTATGGCCTTAGCTTGCATGCTTGCATGCCTAGGCCTTTGGGCCCTCATCTTAGCATGTTTAGGTCCTTGTTTTGACCTACTTGAGCTATGTCCATGCTTAGTTCATGCATTTGTGCCATGTGTTGCATGCCTCCTTTGTGTTGCTCTTTGCTAGCTTTCATGCCTTAGGACCCTAGCATGCTTTACTTATGTTGTTTGAATGACTTGGCATCATTTCCTGCTTCATTTCAGTGCATTTATTGTTGTTACACTTCCACTTTTGTCACTCATCGAGCACTATTGAGAGTTGTGCTCTTTGGCCTCTTTGATGGCCAATGCATTGTGCATGCATGCCTTGCTTTATGTGCCTTCATTTTATCACCAATGGCCACTGATTTGGGCATGACTGAGGTCTGCCCCTTTTAGTTTAAGTCCATTGAACATGCCATGTATATTGCATTGGGTATGCCACATTGTTCATCGCATTATGTATGCCTTGTACTTTGCGTTATGCATGCTTAGTTCACATCATTGCATTGTGCATTCTAACTGATATTTGCATTGTATGTGCATGTCCCTAACATTGCTAATTTGTCCTTGTAGCGTTGCATTGTGCATGCACACATTAGCATTGTTCGCATGCCATTAGCTTTGTTAAGTTAATCATGTCACATTGCATTGAGCATGCCATGTAGTTTATTTGCATTGTGTATGCCATGCTTGCTTGCATTGTGTTTGGAATAAGTGTTAGTCCAAGTACGGGAAATGAGGGACGTTTCATACTTAAAGTGATAAAACGTGCCTTAATCCCTGGTCGTCTACACTCTTGATCATACATGATAGAGTTTTAGGCCTTATGTGTTTACTTGTGCATTCATTTTCATATTGAATTGTGCAACTTCGCCTCTGGGCCATCATGCATTGAAATGCGCGATTGGTGGCCTGAGGGTCGAGAACTACTCTCCCTTGAGTTCATGACATGATAAGGAGGGTGGTTGTGCACACATATCTTGCAAATACATCGCCATGCCCTTTCTTGCTCTCTATTGTAGCAAACTGGAATTCAGCAGCAACAACTGGTCGGCTCGCCAGAAAAACTAGCTGGCCGACCACTTTTTCTAGCTTTCAACAAAGAAAGTGGTCGGCAGGTGGCTGGAGAGACCAAAAGTGGTCGGCCACCCTCCCAAGGACTCCCAAGTTGAAGTTTCAACTTTCTGGAGCTTGGTGCAGTGTTTTGAGGACAATTGAAAACAGAGGCAAATCGGGGCATCGCATTGGATTTCCGAACGAGGAGACCGTGCATGCATTTAGTCTTGTCTCTCTGAGAACCTCCTGCTTTTATTTCTTTCCTTAGCTGCCATGCTTAGATAGCTAGCTTATGCTTTGTTTTGTATTTAAGCAGTTAATGCGTTTAGCGGCTTAATTGTTTTGTAATAGTTAGTTAACTAGGATTAGTTAATTAATTTGTGATGTAAATATTAGTTTAATTAGCTTAGATTAGCTAGTTAGCTTCTTATTCGGTCCCTCCTTTGAGAGGGCACATTGTTGTAATAAGCGTGCGTGTGTGTAATGCATGTCTTCCAATCCCCATTTCTTTCTCCCTTTTACTTAACCGCTTACGATGGTTAGTTTTAGGGCATATTTAATTTATCATACCTTATGTTTGCATGCGTGCATCCATTCATCTGTATTGCATGCACTGGGTTCGGCGCATCATACTAACTGCATTGTATTTCAATTCCTATTTGAATACATGTACTAAGTTGCATTTCACATGACATTCTAGATAGCCGAGCCTATTTTAGTTGCATTATCGCATGTGTTGCATTAGCCATCTTAACATGAACTAGGATCATGCGTGATTTCTAATTAGTTCTTTGTCTTGGCTCGGAGTACACTGTGAGTGTTTACGCTTTAGCTTACTGCATGTGTGCATGCTTGCCATGAGGCTAACTACTTAGTTGATTAACTACCTGAATGCCTGTGGGTGAAGGCTGGATTACTTGAATTGGGACAATTCATTAAAATTCTCGATTTAGCCTACTTACGAGTAGCAAACTTCAAACCATTTCCAAACAAACGGATATGCAATGTTTTGTTCCAAATTAGGCGATCTAGTCTATATTTGTATGCTGTGTGCATCACGTAGTAAGATTAGCTAATTAACTAGAATAAAAGCACATGTGTTTTCAAAAACAAAATATCATGCTTAGTACAGGCCGATCTTTGATCGGGCGAGCGGGGGTGCTCATTACATGACCTTCCCCAATCGTACCCAAGTTCCCGAGTCGAGGCAACTTTGCTGATGACGGACACGTGGCCTTAGGCACGAGTCAGGGTATCCTAAATTCTCCCAAAATAAAATATTTAGGTGGCGACTCTGTATCTGACAAAGCAGTCCATGTTTGACATTTCTTTATAAAAATTAGTTTCCAAAACGATTTGCCAGATTTGGACTTTTTGGTGATTTATCGGTCTTACATCGCACATTGTAAGATTAGATTCAGAACCGTGACATTTGAGTCTGAACTGTAGTAGCTCAGAGAACAAAGCGAGATATCGCGCCGCCTCGTCGCGCGCGCGGATGTCGGGGAGTTCCCGGGGTGCGTGTCTACAGAGGGTATTTAGAGTGTTATATTGATGACATTGTAGTGAAATCCCAGTCCATGGAGGAACATTTGTTTCACTTAAAAGCAGCTTTCGAAAGAATAAGAAAGTTTAAGTTGAAACTCAATCCTCTTAAATGTGCTTTTGGCGTATCATCTGGAAACTTCTTGGGCTATTTAGTACACGAGAAAGGAATACAAATTGACCAGAATAAAGCCAAAGCCATCATTGAAGCCAGACCTCCATCAAGTAAGAAAGAATTACAAAAGTTCCTTGGACAAGTTAATTTTCTTCGAAGATTCATTTCTAATACTGCAGGGAAAACTAAAGTATTTTTTTCCTTGTTAAGGCTAAAAGATGAAGAGGAGTTTGTTAAGGCTAAAAGATGAAGAGGAGTTTGTGTGGACAGCAGAGCATCAAATTGCTTTCGAAGGAAGCAAAGCCTACTTGGTCAACCTTCCAGTGCTGATGCCACCAAAGGCTGATAAGCCCTTGAAGTTGTATATAGCTGCAGCAGAAGATTCATTGGAAGCTTTCTTAGCCCAAGACAATGAAGAAGGCAAGGAGCAAACTGTTTATTACCTTAGTAGGTTTCTAAATTCTTGTGAATGTAAATATTCAGTTGTAGAAAAGCTGTGCCTTGCACTGTATTTTGCTGCAATGAAATTAAGATACTATCTTTTGCCTACAACTGTCTTGGTAATTGTAACCACAGATTTGGTTAAATATATATTATTTGAAGAATTAGCAAATGGATACTAGCTTTGTCAGAATTTCATCTAGACTATGTTCCCCAAAAGGCAGTAAAAGGACAAGTTTTAGGTAATTTTTTAGCAAACCATCCATGTCAAGCAGAAAGCCAAGAGATAATGGAACTTGGTATGGCTAGTGTTGAACCATGGCAAATGTGGTTCGATGGATCAAAAGCCAATGGTTTAATTGGAATTGGTATAGTAATTAAGTCACCACAAGGAGTAGAAACCACGCATTGTTTCAGAGTGGATAATCAAGCTGAATATGAAGCCTTAATAATGGGACTAGAAATACTTATTGGATTATAAGTTCATGCAGTTGACATATTTGGAGATTCTCAATTGGTAGTTAACCAGGTGAAAGGGATTTTCAAATGTCAAAGTATAAGCATGTTTCCATACTATGTTGTTGCATTACATCTGCTTTCTCAATTTCAGATAGCAAATGTAACTCATGTCCCAAGATTCTTGAATAATAAAGCTAATGATATAGCTCAGAAAGCCTCGAATTTCAAGAGAAGGGATAATACTGGAAGAGATATAAGCCAGACAACATATCAGAAAAAAATACTATCCTTGAATAAAAAGAATGTGGTCCTGGAAGTCAATCATGATGACTTACAAGAACAAGATTGGAGGCATCCAATAATGCAATATCTGGCTGGCCCATTTTCGAAGGCCAGCAGAAAAATTAAATTATAGTCTATGCAATACATAATGTATGGTAATGCTCTCTACAAAAGGGGGGGGGGAGATGGGTTATTGTTGGAATGTTTAGGCCCAAAGGAAGCATTGACAGCTATGACGGAGGTTCATGAAGGCATCTGTGGTGCTCATCAGCCCAGTGTGAAGATGAGATGGTTACTTTGAAGGCATTCCTACTCTTGGCCAACTATCCTTAAAGATTGCATAGAATATGCAAGAGGTTGCCAAGCATGCCAAAAGCATGGCACAATAAGGCACGTGCCCATAACTGACCTGCATGCAGTTGTGAAGCCTTGGCCATTTAGAGGATGGGCTATAGACATGATGGAGAAAATACACCCACCCTCTTCGAAGCATCATTGTTTCATCTTAGT